TATATATATATATATATATATATATATATATATATATATATATATATGGCTGCCATCTGTCATGTTCCTCTGCTCTGTAAATTTGGGTTTCAGAATTGTATGGTTTTGAGAATTGGGTGCTCCTTCTAAGTAATCGGTGCACGTTGCTGTTCAAGCTCAGATGCTGGTACAACTCAAAGACAGGAGGAGGTGAAGCTTTAACGTTTAAATCAGTTTCATTGCATACAAAGTCTGTTAATCCAACAAAATAATGATAAAAAAGGAACAAACATCCCAAAACTGGAAGCAAACAGGAAAATAAACACCACGTTGTAGCTTTGGGAGACAGAAACCTACCCTGGTTGTCTCTGAGATGCAGCGCAATCTTTGTATCATCTGTGAGGAGACAAAGAGACTGTGGTTAGTTTATTTGAAACGTTTTCAAAATGACCTCCTTCTGAAGGTCCCAAATGAGATTAAGTTTCTTTCATTAGCGAACCATCTTCCCTCACTACACCTATTAAAAATGAATGCCTTGAATATAATGGCTAGACATCAATAATTCAACACACGATCAGTCGCGGGTTAAAACATACGTGTGAAATATGGAAATGTGGCATGACCCACTTCTCTTTCAAGAAGTTCAGACATTTACACGCCATACCACACACATTATGCAAATCTGGCATATTTTACACCGTTTTCACACCCTAAAATAGAGTTAATTGAAAATAGACTTTCTATTTTAACAATGAGAATGCAGCCATGTTTTAGTCTTTATAACGAGGCATTAGATATTGAATTGTGGGTGGTGACATACAATTTATGCAAAGCTGAAAATAATGACTTTAGATTATTTTCTTCACTTGAGGAATGAAAGCCACAAGTGTGTTGTTTGTCACAGACTCAGCTCAATGTGTCAACTTGTTTCTGCCCGAGAGGCACAGTTTTATTTATTTCTCTCCCACTAAGCTGTCATTTTGCATGCAAGACTGATTCATATCCCTTCAGCTTGATAATGGTCTCACTGATTATGTTGAAAATTTGTTGCATCCAATCCGGGAAGACAAAAGACCAGAATCAAATTATCACAGTAAGCTTTTATTTTATTTTATTTTATTTTTTTACATGTATCTGAGCTCAGAAAATACACAATCATGTATTCATGATATGTATACTATGACCCCTTAGAAAGCATTTTAGTGTTTTTAAATTATTATTATTTTTTTTTAGAAAATCAAAGATGTATACAGTAGATTTATAAATGTGATTTTTTTTCGACTTTAACTTATCGATTCCTCAGTTTTCAGGTCATTTTAACTTACCATAATTTCTGGACTATAAGCCACTCCTTTTTTTCACACAATGAAAAAGAGACTGAGGACGTGTGAGATGAAGTTTTTCTGAAGCTGTTCAGTTCTGACACTAAAGAAGACAACTTTAGTGGTTTTAGTGCACATGAGGAATATGAAGATAACATTCAGTGACTTTTCCTGGTTGGCTACTATGCCTGTATTTTATTTTTTTTGCCAGCCGTGTTACAGGCAGTGTACAGAAGAAAAAGAAAAAAAAAACCTATATGTATGTAAACTTTTTTTTCCGCACTCACTCTCGTGCAAGACGGACGCCTTTCTTCCCTCTCCCGTCCTCCTCCTGCTTTTTCGCTCTCTGTCTTATGTGTAGGAGCTCCTATTTACAAATCTTTCGAATTGTAAACTACTATCATGGTTCTTGTCAGCTGGACATTCAACGCAATCAAACATTTTTTTTCTTCAACAAAGCAACAGGAGAACCCTCAAGCCTCACTGAGACGCACGCGGCAGGATACGTCATGGATCTGATGTGCCTTTCCGTATTGTCTCAGGAGGATGTTGAAGATATTGGAATCATGATAGCAGGGTTTCTGCTTTTTCTCACCGGCGGATACCTATGTTATCGGCTATTAAAGAAGACGGCGGCAGCAGTTTCGGCCATGGCAAAGCTGCCGACCCTATCTGAAGGTTTGGTTCGTACTTTGAGTACTCAAAATCAGCTGATTTACGAGCTAAACCATAAGACGGAAGCGATTTGTGAGAACTGTAGGCTACTTGCGGCTTCCAGCATGTTGGGACCTTGGAAGGAGCTAATAAGCATGGACCAGTGGAATGCCCACAAAGGATTAAAAGTACCAGCAGAACTCAAGGCTGATGAGAAATAACAGTCTGTCTGAACAAAAATCAACAACTGTGTCTTATCTGAATCTGACTCCCCCGTTTGGCCTCGAAGCAGGCCGACTTATCAAATTTCTTCTGGGATATGTGTGAACTAAGAAAGCTCTGTCTATCGCAACCCCCCCGAGAACTGCTGTGAAGGCTTATAACATCTTAACAGGACTATGGGCTATTTGGAAGTGCTTCATGGACAAATCTCACCGTGTAGATATCTCATGTTACGTGGACACCTGTGGCTTATAGACAAGTGCGGCCTATATATGCAAAACATTTTTTTTTTTGCTTTTTAAAGTTATTAGGTGCAGCTTATATTCAGGTGCACTCAATAGTCTGGGAATTACAGTACTTTTGCTTATCCAAATAATTACTGTGAGTTTTCAGGAAATATTCAGATCATGGTTAATCTTTAGCTTAGACTTAAGTTGTACACAAAAGATGAATACCAATGAGCAACATTTCTGCTTTCTTGATTTTACTTTATGATTTTAATCCCATAGTTCATGTCTTCTTCTTTCCCATTTGGAGTAAAACAAACAAACAAAAAAATCAACTGCATTCAATGATCTTTGTTTGGTCAACAAAGTGTTTTAAAAATGTTTTTCACTCACAAATTTCCATAATTTCCATTGAGAGCAACTTTGGGTTCACTGGCGACATCTGGAGGACCATAAAACGTATAAATCTTTCATATAAAATCAATGTGAAATGGCTCTGATTGTTTTAGCAAGTGATTATTAAATATGCTGTATATGATTTTAACTTAAAAAAATATAATATGGAGTGTGGACTGCATAGGAACCATGAGGAGTTAATTGTGGGGCACGTACTAATTTTGCACCAGAAATAAAACCCTATGGTTTAAAATTTTTAATTTCAACAGATGATGCGAAATCTTGAGCAGAGCCTCATCGGTCCACAGTTTATTTTATTTTATTTTAAACGTGAACAAAGTTCATGCTCAATCATCCAGGTACCAAATCCAATAATTCTCAGTCGGGTCATCTGGACTGAGAAGTGGTGACGTTTGCTCCAAACCTTAAAGCACATGTAAAAGATGCACAAGGAACTAGCTTCATAGTCATGATTACGGTAAAATAAAAGGATAAATGTGAAAATATATTTGTCAAAAATGTCAATAAATGACAATTTAACTAAAAGGAAAAGCTATAAAATAAAACAACTTTCATTAAAGTTCGGTTTAGTCCTTTCTCTTGTGTTTGAAGGTGAAAACATCTCTAAACTAACACACCTCCACCTACACACATGCCTTTTCTTTTGTTTCCCATATTTCTTTTCGTAAATGCTCATCCAGTTGCAGGTTGTCAGCGTGATCCACCCTGACCTTTGACCCCTGCAGCTGAAGACACAAGCGCTGCTTGAGGAACCAGATCTGCTGTCAGAGACTCAGCAGTTAGGAGTCAGAAATACTGCAGGTTGACCTGCTGGATCGTAACACACAGAGCGCACATTTTCCGCCCCAGATAGTCCTTAACACACGCCCTGTTGTAGTTCGGACCGTAGGCGTCCTCGTTGTGTTTTTCCTCACAGCTGGACAGCTCTCACACAGCAGCCCATCAACAACCCAAACTGTGGTGACCTGTCCATTAAAACCTAACCACACCAGATGATTAATGGAGCAGAGCTTGGCCTCAGCTAAAGCATGAGACGACAAGAAATACAGTCAGTTTTAGTTGACTGCATTATCTTCTGCTTGGATTATCTTAATGACAACTTTCTTTTTGATTTCTGTCAGCTAAACTAAAACAAACACCATACGTCCTTCAGACAGTGATGTAATCTTAATTTGTTGCCTCGTGTACCTAAAAGAATGCTGTGGACTAGTTTGGTCTGAATACAGCTGTTTGAAATTGTAGTTCATATCACTGACATCACTGAGGAAAAGCACAGAAAAGGATATTATATAAAATGTTACGAGTACTTTTAGCTTCGATTAAACAGTGTTTCCATGGAGACGAGATATAAATGGCCTTTTATTTTGATTCGGGACAACCACATCTGGAGTTGATTGAGAAAAAAATGCCTGTTTTCTGAAACAAATCGATCAAAAGGCCATAAAGAGAGGAAAGGGCCAGAAAATGGGTCCATATACTTCTATCAAATCATGACATTGACAACACTTAAGGGACAGAAATAGAAGTAAACAAACTTCAGAGGACACCTTGACTGTTTTCCTATCAGCAGCAAAAGAACTGTATCAGCTGTTTTCACGTAAGATTTGCATTAAATGATTCTGACTGTGGGTTTGATCTCCTGCTGGGGTTCAGTGAATCATGTGCTGAATATATTACAGCACTAAGCAAAGGAACACACACTTCTTGATGTTTCCCTGTTTGTTCTGGGTTCAAGCTAATTTATTTTAAAAAATGACTGCATAGTCTTTGGAGATCTTTACTCTATTAGGCTGTAAATTTGTTTAATATTTGATGTATTTATGAAGCAATCAAACTAGCAGTGTGATGCTAAAGTGTTGCTAATAAAAGAACCCACATTTTATGTTCATTATATTTTTACTCTTTTATTCTTGTTGGTTTGCACCACCTGTTTTTGTGTTTTTAAAGCTATGATTTTTAAAAAAATGATCAATATTAACATGATGCAAACACAAGGCCTGACCAAAAGAAGTCCCAAAAATTATTTTTGAGAAAAGTCAATGCAAGAAAAGTGAGTAAATCCACAAATCCTCAGTATTTGATTCACACGAGGTCAATTATAGACTAATCTAAAATGCCAAAACTGCCACTTTAATGCCCAATTTCTCTATAATTTTTTGACAATTAGAATACAAATGAACTTTTGTTCCTGTCTTCAAAGTATTGCATACAGAATGATTACCAACAGGGGGATTGTGCCCCTAAAATGTCAAAATGTCCCTCATCGGTATGTTTTAAGGAACGAAAGGTGTGCCAGTAGAGCTGAACCACATGATCTCAGTTTTCTGAGGGTGCATCTGTTCTGGACTGGTGAGATTTGTCCTAATTCAGTCTGCAATGTTTAAATGTTGGTTTGAGCGCAGCTGCAGCCTGCAGCAGAAGCACTTCCTCACATCTGGGATTATTTTAGGAGAAGCTAGGAGTTAGAGAAGATATTTATGCATCTTCTAAATGTAATCTGTGGAAATCTGCCAACAAGGAGCAATCACAGCAACTCATTGTTCTTCTGTTTTTATAGTTCTGTACATATTTTTGCAATCTGACTACTTCCATATACAGTACAGAACTTTGTGCTAGTTTAGCCAGCAAAACGTTCAACTTATTCAGGAGATGGGCATGACCTTCAGGTTTTGTAACTTTGATACTTTTCAAAATGTTTGACTTTCTTTACAAACATTTTCCCCATTGAAATATACTTTTTTTTTTAAACATTATTCAATGGTTCAACACAAATTTTGTTTTCTTATGGTACTTTTAGCTAGACTTTTTTTTTTTACTTTTAGACAACATTTAGCTACTTTTACCTTTAAACTGTACTGTACGTTTTATATTTCAGCAAGGTTTTGCTACTCTTAGCTTTAAGCTAACATTTAGCTACCTTTGTCTTCAAACTGTACTTTTGACATTTCAGCTAGTTGTTGCTACTCTTAGCTTTTAGCTATTTAGCTATATTTGTCTTCAAACTGTACTTTTGACATTTCAGCTAGTCTTGGCTACTCTTAGCTTTAAGCTAACATTTAGCTACCTTTGTCTCTAAACTGTACTTTTCACATTTCAGCTAGTTGTTGCTACTCTTAGCTTTAAGCTAACATTTAGCTACCTTTGTCTTCAAACTGTACTTTTCACATTTCAGCTAGTTGTTGCTACTCTTAGCTTTTAGCTATTTAGCTATATTTGTCTTCAAACTGTACTTTTGACATTTCAGCTAGTCTTGGCTACTCTTAGGTTTTAGCTAACATTTAACTACCTTTATCTTTGGACTGTACTTTTGATATTTCAACTAATCTTTGCTACTCTTGCTTTATATCCATAACAGCAGTTGTTCTAATTTATCGTTCAAAAATCCCCAAGACTTAGCTTTAGATATAATCACATCATTAATTGATTAGCATTGTAAACGCAACCTATAAATAATTGTAATGTCAAAACAGTGTTCTATAATCATTTCAGTACATGTAAAAATCACCAAGCTCTAGTCTAGCAATAATCATTTATTAACTCATAGCTTAATAAAATCAGTAAGTTCACAGTTTCAAAGTGTTTGATTGGCTAAAGATATATTTTAAAAACGCTCCTCCATCTATATTTTTAAAAGTAAAATCAGAAAATAGAAAACCCTTTACTGTGCTGGTAACGTTAATTAGATGTTAATAATGATAAGTGATGTCAATTTGATGTCAGTAAACTGTCACAGCCAGATCAGTATGAACCTTAAAGAACCTTCAGTCATGATAAATGATAACACCCTCATTTGATGCGTGATGTTCTCAGCTCAGGGAGTAGGACCGGTGACCCCCCCCCCCCCCCCCCCCGGCGCTCCACTCCATTCCATTCCCCCTCATCAGGGGCATTTCCTCGGACATCTGGCTGGCATCCTTCCTTCAAAACCCTTGTCATTGGACTCGCAACCCCTCTGTCAGCGACTCGTTTGAAGCTGCATTATCAGGGAAAAAAGAACAAACATCCTTCTCCCATAATATCACAAAACTCCATCTGTCATCTATCTAAATTTCTATAATTTTCATTATCAATATATACTTATTAATTATCATTCATTATTGGTAAGTCAGAAGTGGCAACTCATACTAACAAATAAATCAAAGAAACGTCAATTACCTATTGTATTAAAAATCAAGGCAGGAAAAAGTTACAATTTACAGCGCTGGACTCTCCGATCTGTGACGCGTTCACAGACCTGGAAGAGCCTTGATGTCTTGCGTCACTACTCATTTATAGGGTCCTGGACTCCTCCTTCGCAGAATGGGAGCTCAACCTGTTAGTGTATGAGGTGGTGCGACTAAGTGTGATCTCAATGGATCTTATGTGGTTATGATGTGTTAGGAAATATGAAACGGTGCTTCAAAAGCCTTCTACTTGATGTGGCAAGCAGATTAAACTATATTCCTTGACTGATATTGAATCCCAGGGAGACTCTTTTTAGAGTTGCTGGCCCAGTTTAACCCAGTCAGAACACAATTTCATTATAATCCCGTCTCTGAGCAGATCAAAACCATAGGACCAGCCCAAAAATATCTTAACAACTTTTAGCTAACATTTAGCTACCTTTATAATTGAACTGTACTTTTGATATTTCAGCTAGTCTTTGTAATGTTTAGCTTTTAGCTAACATTTAGCTACCTTTATCTTCGAACTGTACTTTTGATATTTCAGCTAGTCTTTGCAATGTTTAGCTTTTAGCTAACATTTAGCTACCTTTATAATTGAACTGTACTTTTGATATTTCAGCTAGTCTTTGCAATGTTTAGCTTTTAGCTAACATTTAGCTACCTTTATCTTCGAACTGTACTTTTGATATTTCAGCTTCGCAATGTTTAGCTTTTAGCTAACATTTAGCTACCTTTATAGTTGAACTGTACTTTTGATTTTTCAGCTAGTCTTTGCTACTTTAAACTTTTAGCTAACATTTAGCTACATTTATCTTTGAACTGTAGTTTTGATATTTCAGCTAGTCTTTGCAACTTTTAGCTTTTAGCTAACATTTAGCTAACTTTATAATCGAACTGTACTTTTGATATTTCAGCTAGTCTTTGCTACTGTTAGCTTTTAGCTGTTTATCCATCTTTATCTTCAAACTGTACTCTTTCATATCTCAGCTAGTCTTTGTTACTTTTAGCTTTTAGCTAACATTTAGCTACCTTATTTTTGAACTATACTTTTGATTTCAGCTAGTCTTCTGTACTCCCCCCCCCTTTCTACTTTTAGCTAGCCTTTTGTTACTTAAAGTTTTATCTAGGATTTTGCTGCCTTGGCTTTTAGCTAGCATTTTGGCATTTAGGTCATATTTAATTAGCTTATTAATTAGCTTTAAATAGCTTTTTTGTTTTAGCTTTAACAACTCAGTTTTGGCTAGTCTTTAGCCATATTCATCTAATTTAGCATTCAGCATTCATGCTGCAGTTTTTGTGAGAAATGTAACCTTTGCTTACTGTAACGTTGTGTTTGCACAGAACATTCAGCCCATGTTGGAGGAAAGTTCTGGGCTCCTGCAGAATTTGCACAAGTTCTTTGGGCTACTTTACCTTCAGTGGGAGCACTGGTTGGAGGCTGAAAGGTGAAGGCGGTGTCCCTGTCTCCAGAGGCTTCTTTACCTCTCAGCGTTGTTTTGTTGATCATAGCGGTGACCGGGTACTGATGGGTTGTATCAGTTGCGTCACACAGTTTGTCTTTAGTCTGAAAAAAAGATTTTAGTCACAAAACGTGTAGATCATCACATAAAAGACAACAAAGGTCTGGATAAACACGTCACGCTCACCTCGTCAGGGCAGCTGTTATCCACCCAGTCCTGGCGATGGCGGTCAAAACCACTGGAACATCTGCAAGCAAAGGAAACAAATGTCAGTCAGTCACAAAAATCACTATCACAGCAACTTGTGCAAACAATGGAATTAAAGAGTTGGAGAAGCACCAATATGATAAGGACTGAAAATCATAGTACTAAAAAATGTCTTGTCAGCACATTTAATAGTAGGTGATAGAATGATAAAAATCACCATTTACATTTATTAGGGTTACTAAAATGTCTGGCTAACCGTAAAACTAAATTATATATGATTTACTCCTATTCACGGGGGAAGAAGAGCAAATCCTCACATTTATATTTATACAAAAAAAATAAAAATCAAAAATATTTCTTCCCTAAAATTATTGCAGACTACTATGCTGCTCACCATTACCCAGTTTTTCTGCTCTAGTTGTTCAGATACTTTAGTCTGGAATAAACTTATATAACAATTTCATTTCCCCAGTATGAGCCCTGATTTTTATCCTCGATACAATATTACATAAGGAGCTGTTTTTAGTAACCCTGACCAGAACAATTGCCCACGGGACCACAACACTGAATAAGATAAAAACCCTTTAACAGTTTGAAGTCCAGTAAAATCCACCTTAGTTGAAAACAAACTGAAACACAGCAGTTTAAACCATCACATATGAGCTGCAAGGACAACTTAAAGTCTCTAAAAGGCCCCATATTCTCTAAAGAGCATATTGTTATGATGATGAAACTATGTGCCCAAGTCCATCTGCTCGATCGGGCGAGGCAGGTTCCTCTGTTTAATCCCTCGCTTTTCTGCCACGGCTTTCCCCCTGAGGATGCAGCGAGGGAAGCGGAGTGAGGCGCTGTATTATCGAGCAGGTTTGGTCCTATCTGTCCCTGAAGGGAGCCCATGTTTTGTTCCTTCTCAGTGGCATTCATCTCAGCTAGTTGCCGTCTAAAGCAATGAGCCGCAGTGCATTTAATTAGAAACGGGCAGAGGAGCTTCGTTTGAATTTAAATGAGGCTGAGAATGTTTCTGTTCAGCTTTTCAACACAATCCCAACACGACAGACTGTCATTTAAGTCCCCGCTGTTCCACAAGGTGTGTAGTCGCCTTCCACGATGCCGTTTTAGATTTCTAAACAAATAAAATCAATCGTGTGTACCTATTTCAAGCAGAAAATGTTTATTTAAAAAAATGCTGAGTGGTAAAAAATTTGTTGAAGAGGGGCTGACATTAAATTAATTAACTTAAAACTATCAGAAGATAAAACTAAACTAAACTAAATGTAAAAGCTAAAACCAGCTGAGCAATAGCTAAAAGCTAAAATAACAAAACAAAAGATAAACGTTCAAACTAGCAACACAGTAGCTACGCCTTAAATTTGGCAAAATGGTAGACAGAAGCCAAAATTAACAAAAAACTAGCCAAAAGCTTAGTTAATAAGTCAAGCCAAGTAAAAAAAGCAAACAGTAGCCTACGTTGAAGTTAAATCTAACAAGCTAAAACTAGGAACAATAGTAGGCAAAAGTTAATTATAAGAGCAATAGTTAAAAGCTACTTTAGTAAAACTGTTGCTGTAAGGACAGATTGATCTAACGTTTCTGTGCATTTTACTGATTTGCATTACTTTTAGGCTCCACCAATCAGAGTTTACTGTTTTACATTTCAACTCTAGATGATGACGCATGCTGTTTTGATCCAAGGCCACTTGCATTACAAGAACACGTACGCTATTTTTGCTATAGCTTTTAGCTAATGTTTTGGTGTTTAACACCTGCATGGAAAACACTTAATCTAATAAACAAAAAGCAGTTAGAAAAAAATGAACCTTAGGGTATAATCTGTTTGTAAACTCCTTACAGTCTTTGCTTTTAGGGGCACAATTAGTCATTTTTAAAAATGTATTAATAAAAAAAGGAACATTTATAGTGGCAGAGCGAGCTTTAATCTGCAGCCGTATGATTAGCATGCAGATAAAGAAAACTGTTGATTCTGCTGCAAATCAAACTGACGTGCTGAGAATAGCACAAAACAATAATAAAAAAAAAGAAGTGTGGTGTTACAATCTGGATCATGAATTGCAGCATTAGTGCTCTGACAAAGAAATCAGAGTTGATCAATCTGAAATCCAAATGTCAGTATGCTTTGCAGCAACGCAACATCGCTGCATCTTAAATTCAAGCCTTCAAAGATGCAGCTAATTAGGGCCATTAACTCACTGAAGAAAACTCGTTGAATTAAAAAAAAAAGTTGTTCTTCAACGGGCAGCACAGTGGTGCTGGTAGAGCTGCTGCCTCTCAGTGAGCAGGTCTCTGGTTCAAACCCCGGTCCGGGAGCCTTTCTGGGTGGAGTTTGCATGTTCTCTCCGTGCATGCGTGGGTTTTCTCCGGGTACTCCAGTTTTCCTCCCACAGACCAAAAATATGCATGTTAGGCTGATTGGTGGCTCTAAATTGTCACTAGGTGTGAGTGAGAGAGTGAATGGTTGTTTGTCTCTATGTGTCCCTGTGATGGACTTGCGACCCGTCCAGGGTGTACCCCGCCCCTCGCACAGTGATCGTTGGACATGGACACCGGCGACCCCCGTGACCCAAAATGGAATAAGCGGGTAAAGATAATGGATGGATGGATGTTCTTCAAGACTGAAGCCAGAGGAAGTGAATGCCACTGGGCCCCTGAGGTGGCCATCTTGAGTCAGGTTCATTTCATTTATTCAACCTTTATTTAAACAGATAAATAACATTGAGCCTTGAAGACTCATTTACAAGTGAGACCTGTTTAGACAAACAAAAAGTAATGAAAGGGACACATGTATAGGATTTGGAAGCAAAAAAAAAATATTATCAAACTCTCACTTCTTGGCAGAGGACAGAGAGCCTGAGATTGAAAAAAACACCTCGCACATAGGCACATAGGGACGCAGACATTCCACAGGGGAGGGAAGACGACAAGAGCGGTGAACGTGTCCAAGGACACTCCAGTGGCACTGTTAGAGTTCTGATAAGAATGGTATAATCAGTCCGTTCCCTCTGGTGAGTTCCCTAAACACTCTCGAGGAGTGCCGAGGTTGACCTAGGACCAACCAGAGATAATCCAAAAGTCCTGAAATGATGACACAAGGTTTATTCAGCCGGGTCCCTCTGATAGGTCTGCAGGCTTCCTTGGTGGGATAGGAGGGGGCAACGCATCGAATTTACAGGACCTCCAGGCGAATTGAGATAAGGTGTCAAGGACAGCCGGGGAGCCGAATTCAGAAAAACATTTGTTTTGGGAACAGTCAGAACTTTACTGATTCATGTCTGCCTTGAGTCTTTAACTTCAAGAGGTAAATCAATGGACTGCATCCAGTAACTGACACTTTCATTAAAATACACTCAATGCTTTTGAGATATTTTGCTAACACTACAAACAAACACATACACTTAATTGCCCACCTTTTACATTTCAACGCATCATATTTATCGTTACACCTGCTGAGAAACCGCTGACTCAAAATTAAAACGTTTGTAGAGCACCGAGGTTCAAAATAAATGAACAGAAAACCTTTAGGGTATTTTTTAAACAATGCATTCAGTAGTGCGGACATCTTAAGAGCTGAACGTATTAATTATGTATAAGCCAAAAAAGACAACTAAACCTGTCTTGTTGCTGCCTTTACTTATGATTTAGATAATTTATTACAGATTCCAAATAGTGCATCTCCAGTTTTCCTCCAACCAGCCTATCCCTCAAAGCTCAACAAACACAGACAAAATCTGTGCAACTGTTTTTTTATTTTTATTTGCTGCACCAACAGGATGAATTAAAATTCCACATTTGTCTCCTCTCCGGCTTTTTGCGATGCATATCGCTCTTTAAAAAACGTGTTTGTTTCGTAGGTAAATAACCCCCTGCACTTCCTTAAACACTTAAGCATTCTGATGCAATGTCTCATATCTGCTGTGTCTGTTCAGTCTGCAGCAACAAACTGAATCAGCTTGTAGCTTTGCATGACATATTGGGCGTTTCACCTTCTCAGCCCCTCACATTGATTGAAGTTCATTAGGGCTGTTTTTTTTTATTTTTCCTAGAATGTCAGCGACTTTCATTAACCCCGTAGCCAGAGAATATGCAATGTTTTTTAATTTAAAGTGTGCCGAAAGCATGCTTTAATTTATTATTATTTTTTTTAAGAAAGCCACTGTATGAAGGATATTGAGGGTAGGAGGGAGGCTGAACTGTGAGAAATGAACACATTCTTTAAAATGCAGCTTAATGAGACTGGTACTTGTATTGTCCTCTCAGTCAGGAATTGCTGAACAGAAAAACATTTTTTCCACTTTATTGTAACTTGTCTGTCTCTGTCAAAAGCAGAACTGTAAGAAAGTCAAATCCGAAAGAAGCTCGTCGTAACAAATCAAAGTGGACAAATCACAAGTGCTGCACATTTTCTCCACCTCATTATATTTTTTGGCGCCACAATAAAACAGTGATGTACGTAGAATTTAAAATGCAGAAGCAACAAAAGAGAAGTGATGGTGGAGCAGTAAACGTCTGTTCACGTGCAAGGTAAAACTTGATTAAACTGCACCGTCTCGCCACAATTCCCCTCACGTCGTTGTTTTTATCTCAGCTGTTTTTTTTTTTTATCTGACTAAACAAGACCAAATCCACCGCAGCTCACATTTCAGCTGTCAGGAAGTTCTGGGGAGGAACGCCGGCACTTCTTTAGCAACTTAAATATTTACTTTTGTTTGAAGTGTGGGAAGACAAGATGGATGAGAGAGAAAGTGGAGCAGAGGTTGGTGGAGAGGGTGTGAAGGGAGTGAATGTCAGAATGAGCTGCTGTCTCATCTGAGCTCACTTTCCTTGAGATGACTTGAACTTGACTGAGATCATGAAGGTCGCAAATAAAAAAAAAAGGGATTGGTTTAATAGAAGGTTTGATTAAATACCTGCTTTTCTTTTAAGTAAAATGGAAATAAAAGCTGAATACAATGATTTACACATTATAAGCCCTAGATTTTTAGTTTTCTTTTAGGTTCAGCTAACTCTAAGTTTAATAGCAAACTAAGGTGATTTACTTCAAGTGGGGAAACTCAGTGTTTTTGGTTTCAGAACAGCTGAATAAAATGACTGCAACTCCAAGTATCTTTACCTTGAGTTAAGAGCATACATGAGCAAAATAAAAACTTTCATAAAAGGAGCCCTGACACGTGATTCAACAAGGAAGATCAGGTCACGTCTCAGTACTGAGCACACTCAGGTCATATTCGGTTAGTACAGCTGAAAATATACCTGAAAATTTTAATTCATTTAAACTGCTTTTCCACAAAAAAAATCATATTTTCCTACATTAATAGGAAGCGTTAAACAATTTCAAAAACAAAAAAAATGCCAAATTCCTCTAATAAACCTAGTTAATATGCTGATTTGAAAAAAAGTGGTCACTGTAAGAAGATATTCCAGGCAGCAGAATAAAGTGTAGTTTCTGTGCACAACCTAATGTGAGAATATATTAAAAAATAATTTGTAAAAGATGGTTAAAAAAGAGCGATCCTGACCTGTCGAGCTGATGGCACCAGCTGCAGTTGAAGTTAATCTGCGAGGAGACGCAGGAACCACAGCTGTTGAACTGGAGACAGACTGCAGACAGAGTAAAAAAAGGTCAAACCATTCATAAAATCAGTTAACACTAAAAAAATCTAATTTTAACTTTGAGTATAATGAGTCCATTTAGAAAAAAAAGCGTTAGAAACTCTTCATACTAGGTAAAGGTGTTATTTCCACAGCTGTGGAACTGGTGATCCTCGCTGTTGTTAGCTCCACACGGTGGTACTCATAGATTGTCCTCCGCCTCACATCTGTAATTAAAAAGAAAGCAAGAGTCAGTGTGAGGTCGCTAAAGGAAGAGAAAAGAGAAGAGCAGGCAGCAGAAGGGATGCTGCTGCAGCACCTCTCTGCTTTCTTTGTGCCCGAAGCGTCAGACCACCGACCTGTAGTGTACAGGAGCAAACTGTCATGGGACCTGATATCAATCTGACCCTGTCATCTGTGATAACAAGTCATCAGGTGGGGTGAGATGGAGCTCCTGATAAGATACATCACTGACACTGGTGCAGAATGGACTGCTTTCTTTTCTTGACGATGCATCTTCAGTACCATCAAATAAAATGATGGGAAAAAAAATGCCCCAAATGAAACATTCCATGCAATTTGTATTCAAATTTAAACCTTAGACCTGGGATTACATACAAAGTGAGATTTTTCATTCAACCTTTATTTATACAGGTTAGCCTCACTGAGTCACGAGGACTCATTTACAAGAGAGACCTGTTTTAGACAGACACCATATAAGGTACAGACAAAAATAAACTACAATTAAATGCAATTAAAATAAAAGTGTTATAAAGCAATAAGGTGCCATATAAAACAAGGTAAAATACTAAAAACAAGAACATATTTGCTTTGATTTTTCTATTGACCTTATCAAATGTTTAAAATCCCCTAAATAAATTAACGTCGACAGCTTCAGATCTTGTTGCATCAAATTTTCAATATGTGGTTTAAAAGAGAAACGTGCATCAACTAAAATTCCCAAGTATTTGTAAGAATCCACAAACTCAATAGGAACCTGATGCATTCAGTGGTGTAGTCTGTGTGATACTCTGGTATTTGGAGTATACCCACTAGAAAAGCTTGAGAATTTCAGCATACCCACTTAAAAGTGCCCAATGATACATGACATATCATTAGGCACGTGTCATTGATACGTTAAACGGCAGTTAACTGCTTCCGTAACAATCTATCGGTATGCAGCGCTATGCTTTGATACTGTTTTATAAATTCTATAGCATGTTTTTAATACAAAACCAACTGAAGTACAGAGTTTGTTGTTCATTTATTCAAATATAAGCATCAGAGAAATTCGCAAATGTTCAATATTCTTAAAAATCAAAATAAATTGATGATTACATTGTACTAACCAGAGTACTTTGGTTTCTAAGCACAGTATACCCATTACAAAAATGTAGACTACACCACTGGATGCATGGATGAGATAGGAGGAAGAACTGCTGGCACCAACTTTCAGTTTGCAAACAACATCCCCTTGGTTTTATCAGCTTTTAGGACGAGTTTGAGATGTAATAAGTCTGACTGAATTATATCAAATGCAATCTGTAGAAGCTGGAAAACTTTGATAACTGTGTTAGCTCGACAATAAACAGTTGTATCGTCAGCATAGAGATGCAAGGATGCACCAGGAAGGTTTTGACCTCCATTACTTACAGTATATAAATTGTAAAAAGAGTGGGTCCTAAAACTGAGCCTTGTGGAACACCATTGGTGACCGTTAGGCTCAGGTTAGGAGATGATAACAACAAAACCCAAAGATCTTAAGAATTAAAAAAAAAATCTTAATTAACTGTCCCCTTTGTTGTAATTGTCTCACTGCAAAAACCAGAAGCTGATTTTAAAAAGCAACAAGGACAGGTCAACTAGTGCAAATCCATCCATCCATCCATTTTCTTTACCCGTTTGTTCCATTTTGGGTCACGGGGGTCGCTGGTGCCCATGTCCAGCAATCACTGTGCGAGGGGCGGGGGACACCCTGGACGGGTCGCAAGTCCATCACAGGGCCACATAGAGACAAACGAGACAAACAACCATTCACTCTCTCTCTCTCACCTAGGGACAATTTAGAGTTACCAATCAGCCTAACATGCATGTTTTTGGTCTGTGGGAGGAAACCGGAGCACCCGGAGAAAACCCACGCATGCACGGAGAGAACATGCAAACTCCACCCAGAAAGGCCCCTGGACCGGGGTTTGAACCAAGGACCTTCTCACTGAGAGGCAGCAGCTCTACCAGTTGCGCCACCGTGCTGCACTAGTGCAAATGAAATAAGAAAATGAACGACGATGCTTTGATTTACAAAACTTAACATTTCTACTACATTTCCCCTCGGTCACTGTTGTGTATCAGCAAATCCACTTCTAAGAATGAAAACCCTCCAATCCTCAGTCCCCATGGGTTAAGTCACTTAAAAGTCTTAGTGGATGTCAATCTGCACAAAGCTCTTTCATACCTTTCCACTAGAACAATTTGAACCAATTGTCTTTACAAAGTTCTTTTTGCTTGCTTGGTTGATTTTTTCCCCTGGGAATCGTTAACTGGGCTGGCTGCAGAGTTGTCCTCCGCATGTGATGGGATGTTGCTTCCCTGCGGACCTGCTTGGTTTGATTACACACAGGACAGCTGATCAAAGCAGCTGGTGTGAAGCAGTCCCCAAACAGACAGAAAACAAGACCACCCTTCCTTTCCCTCCTCTGCTCCCCTGGTGTTCAACTTCCTTTTGCTTCGAGCAAAGGGATTATCAGGTGCCTAATGACACAGAGGGGCCAAAGGAAGGTTACATTCCCATCTTAAGGAAGTTGATGTGTAGGTTGACTGTACAAATACATTAAGACACCGAATAGATCAATTATTTACTGGTCTTAGCCACACGATGAGCGTTCTGTGTCACTGAACATACGGCATCACTGACATACATGTTAAAATATGATACCATATATCACAACCTCAGTTGTAAAACATTTGGGTCATTGTGTCCATTAAAAAAGGAATGCACTGACTTGTAAATCTCACTGACCTATATTTTAATCCCAGTGAAATATAGTATACATATTAAATGTTCAAGGTAAGGGATTGTAATATTTTTAGGGGAAAAAATATAATTTTGAATTATTTTGATGATAAGAAGCCATGTGAGAAAAGTGGGACAGAGGCAATGAATGGTTGTAAAAGTTAGTGGTAGGCAGCTGCAAGAGCATTTTGTAACTAATTTGGTTGAATAGCAACAAGCCGGTAAGATGGCTGGATAGAAAAAGAGCATAGAATCTCTCAGAAGTTAAGATGGGCAGAAGTTCACCAGTTTGTGGAAAACTGCTTCTAGTTGAAAACTTTCAGAATAATGTTCTCCCATTAGGAAGACTTTGAATATCCCACCATCTAAAGTTAATATGAACAAAATATTTAATAAATCTGGAGAAATCTCTGAGTTGAAAGGACCAGGCTGAAGTTCATTACTAAATGTCCATGATCTCTGAGCTCTCAGGGGCCACTGCATTAAAAATAGGTCTGATTCTGTTCTGAACATCATCGGATGGGCTTCCACAAATCATTGTAAACAAAATTTAATGTGCCATACACAAATGCTGGTTAAAGCTCTATCATGAAAAAAGGAAGCCATGCATGAGAACCATTCAGAATACAAGAGTGTGGCTTTGTAGAAGAAAACTCTGTGTGCTGAACTGGCAGCCAGACCTCTTACCATATAACAACGTTTAGCGCATCACAACGGGACAACATTCTACTCCAAAATCTCCAGAAAACACCTTCCTCAGTTCCTAAACATTTAAAAGTAGCAGATGCTGCACAGCAACAAACATAGACCCTTCTCCCTATTTAGAGATGTGTTGTTGGCGTTACATTTCAAATGACCTTTGTTCGTCAAAAAACATAAGTTCTGTTTAAACATTTGATGTGTTTACTATGTTCCTTTGCAAAAAAAAAAAGGTTTATGACATTTTTGAATAATTTCTTTATGCTTTTGGTTGCATTTTACACAATCCCTCATAAGGTGATACTCTACAGTATATGGTGTCTTTGGAGAAGTTTGTTACATCTTGCCTATCCATCAATCCAACCATGTAATGAAAGTATTATTAACCTCAAATTTACCATATGTTCCTCCGTACACGCCGCACCAGCCTATAAGTCGCATCAGTCCAAATATGGCTAATAAAGTGGAAAAAAACATAAATAAGTTGCTTCGCCGTATAAGTCGCATCTATTATGCGTCACCGCTGACAACCCAGAAATGTGGGCCGGTGTTGTGCCAAAAATCGATTGGCTGCCAAATGGTGGCTGCGGGAGCGTGCATGAGAGGAATTTAACAAGATTAACACCTAAAAACAATTATTTGTTTACTCAAAATTATAGTAAAGGTGTGTCTCAGTCTAATTTTTCCTTAATAAATGCACTTTAATAGTAAAATCAGCTGCATTTCAAAAGTATTTGCTGCCTCGGTGCTCTGGGAGCGCACAGAGGGAGGAAATCAGAAAGGAGAAACGCTGCGTATTTCTTAGAAATTTAACAAGATAAGCACCTAAAACAATTATTTGTTTGTTCGACATTATAGTAAAGGTGTGTCTCAGTTGAACTTTTACTGAATAAATGCACTTCAATGATCAAATTAGCTGAATTTCGCCGGGGCGGCGCAGCAAAATGAAGCTGGTGCTCCAGGCATGATCCCGGAGCTGGATGAAGGTGGCAGGCTATGGCAAGCCAATTGTGTCATTAATAGCCACTTTTACCTATTACACGACACAACGGCATGCCATACTACACTATTGCCATCTAGTGGCTGAAAATGGTAGTGTTCAATATTTTCAATGTCAGAATGAATGAAAACATTCATGTCTCAGCTAACAATTGGTTTATAAATATAGAAAAAAAAACCATAAATAAGTCACTTCAGTGTAAAAGTCGCAGGGCATGTCAAAAATGCAAAAACCTGCGACTTATAGGCTTGAAAATATGGTAAGTAAAATTAAGCTGCATACTACTGCTGACATTATATTTTAATTGAAAATTCAACCATGCTAAATGGCAAAACAATTAAAACAAATAAACAAACAAAAAGGGCAACATCAGCCATTTTTAAAGTCCTCTAAATGTTTGCACTGCCACAAAGTGTACACATTTATTTACTTGTGTGTGCTAGAACTTCTGTAATATGTTTTTTTTCTTCATTTTTTTGCCCTTCTGGATAGATTAATTAAAACAGTTTTACTGAGCTTTAATTAATAATTACTATCTTGGCATCTTGACTTGAATCTAATCTTGGCAAGGAAACATGAGACGGGTGGAGCAGACTTTGGCTTACTAAAAAATGAACGCACTGCAAGTGTCAAAGTGTAATTAGGCCTTAGGGAAGTATATTAAAGATGGATCTCTTCATATTCTAGTAGATGAATTGCAAATTATAAAAGCTGACCACAGAACTATTACAAATCTCGTACATCTCTGCTTTTCCTGGCTACAGTGGCCTGATCTGACTAGAGGTGGTGTAAAATAATTTATATGAGCTCGTTTCAACTACAGCGAGTCAGAAAAAAATTGGGTTGCCATGGTTACGCAGTAAATGGCAGCAGATACACCTATTTGAATTCAAGAGTCATGGTTTCCCAGACTGTTCTTTCCCTGTCAGGATTATGACTTAATATACTTAGAAGTACCAAAAGAAATAATAATCTGGAATGACAAGGATGTCAAAAAACTGTCAAAAAATATTTCCCTTCATAGGGATGATAAGATTAAAATAAGACCCAGAGCACACCAAAACAGATTTAAGACGAGAATTTAACTTTATTTTTTAGATTTTTTTTTGTTATCAAGTCAGATTTGCACAGACAGTAAGATAAATTTCAAGAGCTCATGATTCACTGGCTCTGTCAGAATAAGTCAGAACCGTTTATCTAATGTCGGTTGAGTTAGACATGATAAGGCTTATCAGCGTCCTCTCAGCGGCAGCTTTTAAAGTCCATCAACAAGAAGGACTTGAGGAGGCACATGGATACTGAATAATGACCAGCGATGCATCTTACTTTTTCATTTTATATGTGAAGACGTTGATTTTAAGGACTAACACTGCATCATATATTAAAAATGTATAAATATTGTAACATTGCAAAAGATTCAAAAATTATCTCAGTCACAAGCTGCTTACAAAGAATACAAATTTGGCAATTAGCTGGACCTCCCAATCCTAAAGCTGATGTGAATATTGTAATGACAGATCATGTGGGTTTAATGCATCTGATAAAATGATCACAATATTCTACAATGATATCAGAATCAAGTATTTCTAATATCATGCTCTGATTGCACAGGGAGTCTTTGCTTGTATTTTTCAGAGCATTGCTGTAAAACTTTAAAAGACACTTGACAAGACATTGCAACTGTCTTTTTCTTCCAGAAGGGAACAACAACAAAAATATCATAGTACAAACAAACAACCGAAAAAATATAGCACATTTCAAATATTCTTTGCAAGTATTACAATTTTTGTTTTGCAAATGCAAGTTTGATAAGTGGACAGGTTTTGAGTTTAAGTAAATATTCCTTTTCATGAAGGTACGACCCGATAACCATGTTTCTACTTAAAACAATCACAACTGCATCTCGTTCATGAACTGGTACAACGGTTTGTTGATAATATGGAGCTTGTAGTAATATAAAAATCTTGGTGTTTGCCGGTTTCTGTTTTTCAACCAACTTATTCAGCATGCTTTTGTCTTGAGAGACAGAATCAAACCAACAGTTTGGATTTCATCCAGAGTGCAACACCTTCGTCTCAGTTTGTCTCTATTCACAATTTCATCACTCTGCAGCCGAGCAGCCGCACTGGTTTTATCACGTTGTATCAGAGGCATCAAAGCCAGCTGGCTTTATTAAGAACAAGAGGCTAACATATTTTATATTCACTTCTATATGCAGCTATGAGAATTTGTTGGACATTAAAACAATTATAATTATGTCAAAAACAAACCAGAATCTTCCACCTCTACAGACTTTTTGAGATTTGTTTCACCTTTAACAAAATACAAAATCAGAACATAAATGCTTATTCTTTCCTGATTTCTTACATGCAAAAAATAAATTAAATAAAATGCATAATAAACTCACAGCTTATTATTACATCACACAGAGCCAGAGAACAAGTCTGATCAGATGACAAAGACTGCATCTGGCCATTTTCTGCAAAAACCTAAAAGCTAAAGAAGTACCGTATTTTCTGGCATATAAGTCGCAGTTTTTTGATTTGTCAGTCCTGAGACTTATACGCCGAAGCGACTTATATGTTTTTTTTTTCCATATTCATAATGCAATTTTTAACTGACGCTTAAAATTTCTAATAACTGCAACAGCGAGTACTCCAGTGTGCACTCGCTTCACTCAGCTGGTGCAGGAGGAGGAACGCTGGAGAGCTCACAGCTCTGGCCATGATGGATGGATGGATGGAAGGCTGGATGGATGGATGGTGCTGTGCCACCCAGGCGAAATGAAGCTGTTTTGACCATTAAAGTGCATTTATTAAGGAAAAGTTAAACTGAGACAAACCTTTGCTATAATGTTAAGCAAACAAATAATCGTTTTTAAGTGTTAATCTTGTTAAATTTTGAGCTGCAACAGCGAGTCCTCCCGTGTGCGCTCGCTTCACTCAGCTGGCGCAGGTGGAGGAACGCTGGAGAGCTTGCAGCTCCGGCTGCGATGGATGGATGGACGGTGCCGCCCAGGCAAAACAAAGCAGTTTTGACCATTACATAAACGCATAATAAACGCGACGGGTCAGTGGTGACACATAATAAATGCAACTTATACGCCTAAGCAACTTATATATGTTTTTTTTCCCTCTTCGTGATGCTTTTTTTTTTTGACCGATGCGACTTATACTCTGGAGCGACTTACTGTATATGCTGGAAAATACGGTATTCCTAATTCCTGAGTGAGGTACATGAGGAGGAGGTGATCTTGGGTTTAAAACAACAAAGAATAAACTCTTAAGCACAGTTCAAGGGTAAACACTGATTTGTAAACCTGGAAAGGTCATTTGCACATAGATCTGAGACTCACTGGGTATTTGCTGGATCTTGTGGACCACCACAAAAGCGTCAGAGAGGCCCACCTTCACCGGGTGGTTGATCGAACTGATTTGTGATATTCCAGTGGGGATCTGAAACAGAACAAGGAATATCAACCACCAGCACTACGGTCATCTGGTTGCTAAATACTGACGGGTCACAGTCAAACAGTCTTTCAGTGTTTGCACCACAGTAAACAAGTGAATCTTTATGAAGCTAATAATAAAACCTTTAATAGAAATGCAGAGTTAAACTCTATCAGATCTGGTGTTTAGAATTCTCATGATAACATTAGATGAAGAAACATGTGCCATCAGGTGGAAAAACATGCAGTTATTTGGAATAAGATGTAGAATAAGCAGGTTTACATAAAACATTTTGTCTAACAGGTTTGTTGCCCATTTTGGACCAACGATGTAATGAATCAAGACAATCTTTCAAATCAGCTACGGTTACATTCAGTTCAATTAAATTCAGTTTATTTATATAGTGCCAAGTCAAAAGTCTGGGTTTGGGAGGAACAGGAAGGAGGAACAGAAACACAATGGCAGGTCGTGAATCACATGTTAAGATAGAAATAACGTCAAATGAAAACTATTAAATTTTACCAATTCATTTAAGGAAATGAGGTCAATTTGTCCTCCAGTAGTCTAAGCCTATAGCAGCATAACAAGTCACCCCTAACTATAGGATTTATCATAAAGGAAAGTCTTAAAACTGGACAGAGTGTCAGCCTTATGGACAAAAACTGGAAGTTGGTTCCACAAGAGAGGAGCCTCATAACTGAAAGATCTTCCTCCCATTCTGGTTTCGGAAACTCTAGGAACCGCGAGTAAGCCTGCAGTCTGAGAGCGAAGTGCTCTGGTAGGAAAATATGGAATAATAAGATCTCTAATATAAGATGGAGCTAGGTTGTTGAGGGCTTTGTAGGTTAGAAGTAAGATTTTGAATTCAGTTCTGGATTTGACAGGGAGCCAATGGAGAGAATCTAAAAATAAAACTGTTACAGGAAAAAATAAACTTTAAAAAGTGTGTCTCAGCGACCTGTTGGTAAAACTGCTGCACTCATCATGGCTCATGGCTTTATGGTCCATGGCCCATTATGAACTATACTTCAAATACGAAAAATTATGGACAGTTCCCAAAAACAATTCTAAAGATACTGACACCCGATGAGTATCTTGTCAAATTACCACTAAATTAATAGTTTATTTACTTAAAGCTGTGTAAAGAACCCTTTTTTTCCCTTCTGGTAGTGTAATATCTATATTTCAGGCAAGTGGAACTTTTTTTATGAAGTAAAAAGGAAGTGATATCAAAGAGTGAACAAGAAAGACATTTCTTAAAGCTTTAAGTTTTAGAAGAAGCAAACTGTGAGAGCTGTGTGAGATGGGAAAAGTGTGAAGTGAGTCACAGTTTCTTTTGTACCATACGTGCGGTGAAAATTAAAGTCTGTCACTCTGGCTTCTTAAAATACCGAAGTTAATTTGTTGTATTTGTTAAGATTTCTACAAGATCATATTTCTTCTACCACTGAACAATAAAGACAACTTAAAAGTTGCTAAAATGCCGAGATGGTGTAGAGGCAGGGCAGCCGGCTCAGGACCCAAAAGTCCCAGGTTCGATCCCCGATCACTTCATACCTCATGGTGTCTCTGCGCAGCACACCTTATCCCCCAAAATGCCCCCTGGGTGCTTTCAATAGCTGCCCACTGCACCACCTGGTGGTGGATGGGTTAAATGCAGAGACAAATTTTGCCATTGTATGGAAACACACAGTGCTGACATTATTATTTAAGTATTATTTAAGATATTTACAGGTCAAAATATTACATTGAATACATAAAATCTACCCTGAGATATCCCCATTTGTAAGAAATGCTCTCTAGTTGACGAAACCTTAAGCCACAGTTTTAATTTTTTTACCAAGCTCCAAAAATATTGGACCAATATCTCTGACTTAATGTCTCCAATTCTCCATGTACAGTTGACTCCTGAACCCGTAACAATCATTCTTGGTTCTTGTGATAATGTTGTGGGGTTGATTAATGGAAAGCGATGTTTCATGTCTTATTGTATTGTTATTGCAAAGAAGCTTCTTCTTACTAGTTGGAACAAAAGAGTTGCTTCTTCTCTAAAGTTCTGGCTAAATAACCTTGTAAATACTCTACATTTAGAAAAGATATTGTGTACTCTTTCAGGCAGACTCTCCTCCTTTAATAAAACTCGGGCACCTCTCTCCTGATTTTTACTGTCATAACTAATAACTATGGTTCTCACCTCCTAATTACGGTAAATAATACTTGGGTGGCTGGGACCTGTGTTGTGTGGGTGGGAGGGTATTTTATTGTACTATGCTGTGTGGTGTGGTATTTTATGTTGTTTCTTGTGTAATGTATAAAAATATTTTAAATCTCACCATGATATATTTATATGAATTGCTCAATAAAAATCAATTCAACTGAAGCGAGCCATTAATAACTAGAGCAAGCTATTAATAATTAGTGCATAAACTAAAAAAAAGCCACCATGCTATGTCTAGTCTAGTTTAAAAGCAACAGAAGTGAGCGGAGGCTACTTTGAGACATGCGGTGAATAAAAATGGACTTCAGCTTCTCACTGTTTAGTCTGGAAACGATGAGCTAAAACATTTAGGAGTTTTTAAGCCAACAGCATGACTTGTGACAGTGTTGGAATAAACACTGGCAGGGTGGGAAAAGGACACAGACAAGGCGAGGAATAAAAGATCGGACAGGAGAAGAAAGGACAAAATAACCTCTTTGTATGCGAAGACGATCCTGCCTGTGTTGTGCAGCGTGGCCTGGAAGGTGAAGCTTCCCAAGTTGTAGTTGTCCTGCAGGTGGACGTGATCCCACTGAACCACCAGAGCTGTACCTGAGGAGGGAAAATACATTCATCCATACATGCTGAATTAGGCAGAATAACTCAGATTAACTAGTAAAGTTTGCCATGTTTGCTGTGGAATTAAACCATGACAAAATAAAAGAAAAGGATGATTGTTTTAAGATTTCCTTCTTGGTAGAACTCAATCTTTCTGATATCAGCACTGATAAATAAACACTCAACCAGAGGGGGAAAAACCCACAATAAAACCTGGACTGTTCACAGAGTGGCCATGGTAAAGATGGATTTTATAGATTGGGTGGTTTTAAACACTGTGAGAGTTTTTCACGCTGTGCAAGAATGTATTAAAGGGACTGGTTAGACTGAGTGAGAGCTGTCATGAACTAAACAACAAAACACAAAAAATATATTACATCCAAAATGCTCTTCTTTTACAAGATAATCTAGATCTGTCCACCTGAACAGCTTAGCTGCCAGGAATGCACACCAGTAAATAAATAAGTAGATAAATAAATAAGTAGAGAGATAAATAAGTAAATAAATAAGTAGGTAGATGAATAAGTAAATAAATAAGTAGATCGATAAATAAGTAAATAAAAAAGCAAATAAATAAGTAGATAGATAAATAAGTAAATAAATAAGTAGATAGATAAATAAGTAAATTAATAAGTAAACAATTAAGTAGATAGATAAATAAGTAAATTAATAAGTAAATACATAAATAGATTTATAAATAAGTAAATAAAGAAGTAGCTAGTTAAATAACTCAATAAATCCATCCATTATCTTTTACCCGCATCTTCCATTTTGGGTCATGGGGATCGCCGGTGCCCATGTCCAGCAATCACTGTGCGAGGGGCAGGGTACACCCAGGACAGGTCTCCAGTCCATCACAGGGCCACATAGAGACAAACAACCATTCACTCTCTCACTCACACCTAGGAACAATTTAGAGCCACCAATCAGCCTAACATGCATGTTTTTGGTCTATGGGAGGAAAACCGGAGTACCCGGAGAAAACCCACGCATACACGGAGAGAACATGCAAACTCCACCAGAAAGGCCCCCAGACCGGGATTTGAACCAAGGACCCGTTCGCTAGGAGGCAGCAGCTCTACCAGTTGCGTCACCTTGCTGTCCAAGTAAATAAACAAGTAAATAAATAAGTAGATAAATAAGTAATTAAATAAGTAGCTAGATAAATAAATAAATAAATAAGTAGCTAGATAAATATGTAAATAAATAAGTAGCTAGATAAATAAGTACATAAATAAATAGATAGATAGACGAATAAGTAAATTAACAAGTAAATAGATAAATAAGTAAATAAGTAGATCAATAAAAAAAGTCAATAGATAGGTAAGTAGGTAGGTGGAAAGGCAGGTAAGTAAAACTCATCCTGAGCACAAATCAAATAATTTGCATTTGATTTGTGATTATGCTTTGTCTAAAAACAAATCAGTGATGGATTCTATTGTATCCAGAGCTAAATATTACTTATCACTTAATCACATGAAAAATTAGTTATTAAAAAATAATAAAAATTACAATAAGTTAATGCATCTCTCATTTTGGAAGCAGCAACACTTGCAATTTCATTTCAAGCTACTATATTTTGAGAACTTGCTGCTATATTTTTAATGAACCCCTATTGTGAGGAGTGATAGGGCAATCTGCATATGTATCTAGCTTAGCTCAGCTTTATAACTCAAACCCCACTCTCTCTGTTCTTTGAATTGAGAAAGCTCCTCGGATGAGAAGCGCAACGTCGTCTGTTACAAATAAAGTCCAGTTGGTTTTGTCTTGAACTTTTTTGAATTTACCATGTCCTGGATGACTGAGAATCTTCACCAGCGTATATATTTTATGACAAAGATTAGATCAAATATTCAAAATAGTCTTTGGTTGTCCAACGTGTTTAACAAGTATAATAAATCTCTGTAAGCTGACTTAATGCAAGGTATATAAATCAATAAATTAACCCTCCTGTTGCCCTTGAGTTATTTTGACCAATGAGCAGCAGGAGGGTAAAGGAATCATTTCAGAACATAGCCTTCATCGCGGTCCACCAGAAAACAACACATTTTTGATTTACTGTGGACTTTGGTGAACCTGTTGATGTGAAAGCTATTTGGTCTGTTGCCAGGCCAATAAAGGTTTGTTTACACAGCCGATCAATTTTTCTCCCGTCACACAGCCAGAGCACTTCCATCCAAAGTAAAGAGCTTTTCTTTGGCCGCTTGGAGTTCAAGGGTGACTCGTCGAACAGAAACTTCTGTAATAAATTACACGATGTATATGGAGGGCTGTTAGTCAGGGAAAAAAATGTAATGTGTGAAAGAGCCGAACTGATTTACAACTTAATGACTCCAGTGTTTCAGTCTGAAATGTAATACGCAGGAAAAAGAGAAATAAATGTAAAAACAGTGACTGTCAGTGGGTCCTAACTCATGTTACAGCCGGTCCTCTCAGTCAGCACAAAGTTCAGCTTGACCCAATAAACCCCGTTTGCTTGAAATGCACTGAGTTCAGGAGGGAAGGCTGCCATGAGATCTGGGGCGTCCTGGCTAAAAATACAAACTGGATGAGCAGGAGAATCAACACTGACCTCGTTTCTATTCCAACTTATACACTTTTACATCAAACACCCCCACCAAAAGATCAAATAAACACAAACAACAGGCAAGGAGTTTCCGTATGCATGTTTTGTTGTCTGGAGTCTAATTAGCAATATAATGAAGCTACTTTTCATAAGCTCATGTTGGGCACATATTACAGCCTTTTTATCAATTTTTCATTGCTTCAATGAAGTTTTCATTCATCAAAAAAAAAAAAAAAAGCGTTTTTTTTCCCAGTAAGAGCAAAATAAGTAGGTCCATCTTCCCAGTGCTTAGTGACATATGAACAACATCCCCTCTACATGTCAGAAAACGTTCAGCCCACTACCACCTGATATAAATAAAGGTTTTTTGTTTCTAATTTAATGCCACACAACACAGATTATCTCTAAAATTTATCTTTTTACACATTCAAGCGTAAACCAGAAAAAAGTGAGGCGCATTTTATTAATCTACCAGAGATTAGTGGGTTTCAAATGATCATAAATTGACCTGAAGGACTTGAATAGCTACGACAGAGCTTTAGGGCCACGCTAAGAAAACCAATAAAAATTTACATTGCCACGTTAAGGAAAATTTTTTTTTAAAGCCATAAAAGTACGAGAATAAAGTCCTAGTATTATGAGAATTGCTGTTTTTACAACTCTCGTTTATTTAGTTTTATTTTTTCCACAAGTCGGATCCACGACGCAACCTGTCAATCAATCCAGTAGGCGTGTCAGTAAATGAGCAATCCGAAGCTAAATGCTCCTTACCTGCAGAGCTGCGCTGCAGCCCATCAGAACGTATCACCTTACTGTAAGCAGATTCAAAGTCCTGATACTGATAATAATCTGATGCTGATGTGCTAACAGATAACAAGATGCTCAGCATTCTTCATTTCACCACAGTTAAAATGCGATGAACTCTGCTTTATGTGTCGGAGTTCGGATAATATTACGACTCATTTAGCTTCGGATTGGTCATTTGCTGACACGCCTACTGGATTGATTGACAGGTTGCGTCGTGGATCCGACTCATGGAAAAAATAAACAAATGAGAGCTGCAAAAAGACTCGTACGACTTTATTCTTGTAATTTTATGGCTTTTCCTTTCTTTTTTCTTAGCGTGGCCCTAAAGCTCCGTCATACATAGATGTTTTTTTTGTGACATTTTCTTTTAAAGCCATTTTATTTGCACTTGTTATTCTCAATTTGTATGCATCCTGTCTATTGTTGTGTTTGTTGCCCACTGTTGTCATCATTCTTTGTTAAAATCAGGTCTCTCTTGTAAATGAGTCCCCGAGGCTCAATGGGATTAACCTGTATAAATAAAGGTTGAATGAATACAATACTCATGTACTGTGTCAAGGTAAATGTGTATTCTTTGCACTCATCATGCTCGATGACTCTCCTGCTGATGTGAATGACATTAACTGTCCCATGTAATCACTCACTGTGACCAGTCAGTGAGGAACAGAAAGAGTCCTTGACTCAGATCCACTCCTTCCTATCTGCAGCGGACCTTTGGATGACGGCTCGGACATGGAGGGGAGGAGCTGAGGGCTGGGCTGGACTAACTTGTCCGGTTCAGGAAGTTAGAGCAGGTCAGCATTTCAGATGGATGAGAGCACTGATAGTGTGATCTTGTAAGTGCATTTAATGTTCTGTGAATGCCGGACTGCTCTCCAAAGCTTTGTAAATAAATCTGATGAACCACACCTTGGTCTGTTTGGAAATCTCTTTTTTCTACAACAACTGTATGTCAAAATGAGGCTTTATGCTGAATGGAAAAGGACATAATTTGTGTATCTTACAGAATTATGGAGCAAACTACATACTGTATGTAGCAGGAGTGATTGAGGAGAATAAGGTTGATGATTTTCTTCACTTTACTACACTTTTATTATTCGCACTCGTTAAAATTGGGACAAGTTAACACACTTTATGGATATTCAACCACTAAATTCACACTTGAATGATCAGACTCAACAGCTGAAGCTGAATTCATAGTTATAGAAAATTATTATCATAATATTACACTGAATGAGGAGGAAACTGAATTTGCCTTTACAGTAGTTCCTCGTATATTGCGGGGGATCCGTACCTTGAAGACCCGCGATAAGTGAAAAACCGTGAAGTAGGAATAGTAGTACATTAGTAAGTAGTAGTTTATTTTAGTATTTATATATAGATATATTAAGGCATTGTAAACCCTTCCCACATTCTTGCAATATTCTAAACAATGTTTCTAAACACTAAAACTCTAAAAGAGCACAGAATGTCTTGGCCACGCCCACTTCTCAGCTCTGCACGGAGAACAGCTGATCAGCTGCAGCAGGAAGTTGATCCTGCAGTAAGGGCTGCACAAAGGTGCTAAATATTTTAAAATAATTTATTTTAAATAAAAATTCCATGCCGATCGTGCGGCTCATCCATCAGTCAGCAAATTGTGTGTCATGTCCAATGTTATTTTTGAAAAACCGCGATAGAGCGAATCCGCGATAAACGAACCACAAAGTAGCGAGGGACTACTGTTTCATGCATCGACTATTTCCCACTGTAAAAAATGGAAGTTTTAGTCAAACATTATGGATATATTTACACTTTTTAAAAATTCTAGCCAGAAATCCATGTTTTTTATTTGTTTATTTGAACAAAGCAAGATTCTGCTGGAGGCATAAATGTTCATTTGTGCAAACCGATAGATGTCTGATCCACCAAGGATGGAAATGATTGTGACTGGGCCGTGACAAGCTTTATTCTGGGAACACAAATCCAAAGATGTTACAAGGAGGTTTACCTTAGAACTGATTTCTACATTTATCATATTGGAATATTTGACTATAAAAACACATTTTAACCAGTGTTAGACTGTAATACATTATGCTTACAACATTTTAACCAATGAGGGATTATGGCTGATGTATTAAAAAATAATTTGAAATCATAAAATTTGTATGCCACTGTTGGTGACAGTTAAATCTCTGCGGTTAGGTCAAATATCCATGAAGTGACACATTATTGACAGGGAAAAATCTATTGTACGGTCTTACTGCAGAGCAGGAGGAAGTCTTCACTCGTTTCATTTCTTCTATTTTTAGAGATGAACAAAAACATGTGACACGACGAAGCATCAGCAAGACGTCACACTGTGCAAAGTTTCACACAAACCCTCAGCCCTGTGAACAAACACCGCATCTCCGCTGAGAACGCTTCATCAAACGTGTTTTCATTTTTAACGAAGGCTCCTCCACACCACAGCAGACTGTACAAATCCTGTGTGGGATTATCGGCAGCACGCTGACTGACGGACAGTGAAATGAGGAGCAGACGGCCTCAGGATCGATTCGCTGCCTGTTTAGTTAAAGTCTGATGAACTTCTCTGCAGAAGTTCACACACTTTGTCACTCGGCTGGTGGGATTAGAAGATAGACAAGAAGTATGGAGACTTCGTCTTAATTTGTCTTGGATAAGCAGATATTTACGGTGGCCCTGAGGTGTAAATGACCCACATTTGAAAATACGGAATTACATTAAGCCAAAGCGGATGTGGTGTTTTTTTTTTTTTTTTGTCTGTGTATGTTTTACTTTATTAATAACTTAAACAGAACAACAGAACAATGTACAGTAGGGCCATTCCTACTATTCAGTGACTTTTGAGTCCTCTTGCCATAATGTGACATATTTTATATAAAGGTGGGCTAATATTTATTTTATTAATCTCATCTTATATGTTTGACTCCCCTCCACCATTAAACACAACCATATGTGCACAAGATTAATTTATTTTAAATAATTACCAGTATATCTAATTTTAAATGCAACTTAGGTTTACTGCCATGCCTCCTTTTATACTTCCTGAAATTAAGTTACAATTATAAGTAATAAAAATTAAAAAAATAATAATTCTTTAATAGCACTATTTATAATAGTTCTCATTCAATGAGTTTTTATATCAAAATATTTTATGCTTAAATTATTAAAAATAAATTGAGTCCCTGAGTCAACTGTCCCCCCTGTTACTCTAAAAAACCTGTCACCCCCAGTTTGGCTTAATGTAATTCCATTTTTTTCAAATGTAATTCCGTTTTTTTCACTATTTCCGCTTTGGCCCCTTCCGCTTTGGCTTAATGTACTTCTGTTGTTTCAAATGTTATTGTGTTTTTGTTGTGGTTTTCAAATATAATTTTGTTTTTTAAAATGTAATTCCGTTTATTTTATTTTTTTTCTAATGTAATTCCGTTTTTCACCACTTCCACTTTGGCCACTTCTGCTATGGTTTAATGCAATTCTGTCTTTTCAAATGTTGTTGCGTTTTTTTTTTTGTTTGTTTTTAAATATAATTTCGTTTTTTGAAATGTAATTCCGTTTTTTTCAAATGTTGTTCATTTACATCTCAGGTCCACCATTTATTAGCTAGATTATATTTATTCATACTACTTATCTAATAAAGAAACATGAAAATAACCCTGAATGCTTATATTTTTGTAATACCTGTTTTTTGTACATCTAGATGTGCAGCACAGTTCTTGATTCCCAGCTCACATAATCTCTACAGCCGTACATCACGCCATTGTTCCATCTGTACCCTCTGAATAGTGCAAAACAGCAGCTCTGACTGAAAGATGCAGGATCCTTACCGTTGTCGAAATAAATGACGGTGGAGTTTCTGGAGACACTGGGGTCAAAGTTAGCCATCAGAGGAGCGATGTACTGTGTAGCTGTGAGCAGCCGGTGAGCGACATCACCAGTGTAGATGAAACCTGAGGGAGCAAGCACAGAAGAAAGAAATAAATGTCACTTTTTGCAGGACTGTGTGGCTTTTATGTTAAACAATCAGTTCATCCCACTTCTGCTTGTCTATTTATTGTGTGAATGTTTATGAAGCAGTCACACTATTGTGGTCCATTTTTCTTCCTTATATTTTTTTGGCACAACGCTCGTCCTGCAGTTTTCAAGCTATTTCAACAAATCATATATTAAAACATTCAGCTCATTCAGGAGAAGGATGCTATAACTTTTGGTATTGGTAGAACTTTAGCTTTTTGAAATATTTAGCATTTTCTGCCATTTTTTTCCTCATAGAAAATGAATTAAGCTCATTTTACATCCTTCAAATCTTTAGATCTGTGTACAACCTTTTACTGCTCCTTTCACATTTTGTTCGGGTTCAGCTTCTTTCAGCTTCCATGTGCAACTTAATTTTTTTTCAGCTACTTTCAGCTAATTTCGGCTGTTTTGTGCTCCTTTCAGATTCTTTCCGCTAACTACAACATGTTTGTGCTTCTTCTAACTTATTTCTGCTCATTTCAACATGTTATGCTCCTTTCAGCTTATTTCTGCAAGTTTCAGCTTTTTCTGCTAATTCAGCTACTATTTAGCTGCTTTTATGCCAATTTTAGCCTTTTCAGCTAATTCCACTTTTGTTGCACTTATTTCAACTTTTTATCAGCCAAATTCAGCAAAAATGTGCTCTCTCCACTTCCTTCGGGGAATTTAAGCGTCTTTTGGCCTTTTTAGCAATTATTTTAGCTGGTTTTATACTAATTTCAGCTGTTTCAGGTAATTTCCACTTTTTGTGCTAATTTCTGCATCTTACAACATGTTTTTTCTGCTTTCTGTTGACATTTTAAGCTTGTTCTACCTTTTCAGCCAGATTTTTTAGCATAATTTAGCTAATTTCAGCTGTTTTCAGCTAATTTCAAGTATTTCATGGTAATTTCTGCTACTTTCTTTCAGCTTATTTCTGCTAGTTTCATTTATTTCAGCTATTACAGTATTTAGCTGTTTTATGCTAATATTAGCTTTTTAAGCTAATTCCACATTTTTTGCACTCATTTCAACTTGTGTGTTATTTCTGCTTTCTCCTACTGATTTATACTTGTCTTACATTTTCAGCTACATTTCCGCATGCATTTTTTTATTGCCAATTTCAGCTTTTTTTCAGCAAGTTCTTCTGCATTAAGCATTCACACTGCATTTTCACAGGAAACACAATTTCTCTTACAGTATATTTCAGTAACATATCTGCTCTCCAAATTTAAATTAACCAGAAATTGTCCCTTCTGATGCGCCCCTGAAGCAGGAAGCAGCTTCACTAAGCAAGAGCATTTCATTACTATGATTTTTTATTAAAAAGGGAGAAGCAAATTAGAGGCTTAAAGGAATCTGCTTAAATGCTGAATGAGCAGTAAACGTGTTACCTAACACGAATCCTCTACTTTATGTTAATGAAGATACCACAACACCAAAAAGGAGCTTTGTAACTTTTCCCAATAATCAGACAAGCAAAATCAAACTGCATCATTTAGCAAGTCTGCAAACATGCTTAATAATTGACCTTATAAAATAAATCAAAACATCTAATTCATCACCGGGGGGAAACTCCTATATGTCTTAATTTCCCCGGCTGATTACAAAATAGAGCAGTCATCGGCTTCTACAAAACATATTTAAGGCCGATGCTTTTGGTTTGAGTCTGACTGGATGCATGCAGTGCTAAAATGATTTATCTGGATCTTATATGCAAGGTGCAGTCAGAAGGAATTCACCTGGATAACAGTTTGAAAAATGAAAAACACATTTGCAATGGCAGCATCTTTAATATATATTTTTTTCAGAATGATTCATGCCAGAAACAAGAAAGAAATAGCTTCTTTAAAAATGATAGCAAATCTTTCCCACTGGGAGGCTAAAAAACTGCTGAGTTTCTTTTTTTATTTCTACTTCAGACAGTGACTGAGGGAGGGAAACAGCTATAAATTCTCATAATTAGGTGCCGCAGCAAATTTGAGCTCATTTTCTGTAAAATTGACAAAGTTTCAACCATTTTTGTGTTGGTTAAAGTCAGTATGGCTATGGCTGTCATCTTAAATGTGGTTGATTCTATAGATGAATCAGTTATAGATGAACATCAAATACTTAGTTTCTGAAAGTTTCATTAAAACCCATAAAGTGGTTCATGGGATATTTTAACAGACAGGTGAAAAACAATTTAACCTTCCTTTTGTTTTTCTGTGATTGGAAACAAACTAATTTAAAACTTTACTACAGATAATTGGAGGACAAGCTTTACGCAATATTGTTGACTATTTTAACAAGTATATGACCTTTTGTTTTAATTTCTCTTATTTTTTAAGAAACTCATTGAACTCATCTGGTGCAGACCGGCTCTGATTGGACAGAAATATTATAGAGCGAATGCACGACACTTGGGATTATTTCTTACCCTTTATCACAATCCAAACATTTTGTTGTAATGTTAATATCGTGCACGTTTATGTCATTATATACTTAAAACAGAAAGTGAAGAAGCAAGGATGCTTTTAGGAAGTTTAAACAAGTTTCTGTAATCCTAATTAAAAATAAGCTAAAGCAAAAAAACAAACATTTTTTATTTCATGGTATAATATTTTTACAGTTAAGATTTCTTAAAACATGAAACTATGCTTTGAAATCATGACTGAACTTGAGGAAAAAACTGTTTTCAATTATCAAATGTGATTTTATTTTATTTTTTTAAGGAATCAGAAATCATTTTTATTTACAGACAGGAAAATCTCTAGTGGAGTGTTGAATAAAAACTGGGATTTCTGTGAGAAATTGAAGAGCAGGCCTATAAACCCTCATTTCATGCGGTCGTATGTCTCTTCATACGGTGGGTGGGCTTTAAAAAAACATGTCTCGTTCTGGAAACATGCCGAGCATTCTGCGAGGGGGGGGGGGGCACTTTTCCCACAAACCTCCCTGCTTCGAATTACCTCTGTGCACGGCGCTGTCAGGACTCAGATCAGGAGAGAAATATAAAATCCGACTTGATGTAGCATGAGAAGGCCACCTGAAGAGGAGTTAGTGAGGAAAAATATGGAGCCCGACAGGGTTTAAAGGAAGTTGCCATGGTTACGTGTAGTTTTATCCTTGATGAAAATGTGCATGTGTTCAGGAAAATGCATTTTATTATATACACATACAAATTAATGAATCAATTTTCTTTCAAATGCAAGGAATTTTATTTTATTTTTTACGTGATTTGAGCAACTTTTGTATTTAATGCTACAACTTATGATCCATAAAAAGCAAACAACATTATTTCAATTGGCTGCAAACAAGGTTTGTTGCTTCAGGTGAAAAAACATTGACTTGTGTGCGTGTGCACAAACTCCATGAAGCCTTAGATTTTTGTTGTTGTTGGATCTGTGAAATGCCCTCTGTGATGAGGGCCCTTTAACCAGTGAGACATAAAACAGAGAATCAGAACGTGAACAAAAGCAGCCATTGTTTATTTTTGTCCGCTGCCGATACAAGGACAGGTCATCAACAGGTCGGTCATTTGCATTAATCCTTTGTGCTTTTTCCCCGACAAACAAATACCAGTAGGTAGTAGTAAAAAAATGGACGTTCTTGCAGCATTCGTGTGAATTTTACAAGAATCCAACTTCTCTGCATAAGAACATGTACAGCAGTCCCTCGCTACTTTTTGGTTTGACTTTTGCAGACCCACTCTTTCGCGGTTTTTCAAAGTCAGATTGTACACGACAGAAAAAAAGATTGTACACGACACACGATTGTCAACTTTAATATTACTCACGTGATATTGACAGTACGAGATATAGTGACAAGTTAACAAAAAAATACTTCAGACAGGTGCCACCATTTTGTAGTTTTCGCTCAATAAGCCTACACTGTATCGCCCATCAAAAGGACTACATTACCCAGAAGACAACAGTGCTTCTGACCATTGCTTTCTGATGAAATGGAGGGAAACTTTTGATCCGATCCAAAAAAGTTTGGCTTTATTCATATTGACTTTGGTGCTCAGTTGATAGCCGTACGGAACTGACCGGGAATTGGATCAGAACCAGAATTCCATCCTCATCGGTCAATCTGAAAGTTGTTTGCCAGCCAAGGGAGCTTCTCTGGCAGAGAGGTGTTGTTTGGTGGTCCGGTGTTTTCTCCAGGCATCACCGGTACTTTTTTCATCTGGATCTGGACTCGATAGGGACCATTGTGTGGTTTTGTTTGCAGTACATATACTGTGCAGTACAGTTGTCTCGTTTATCACGGGGGATCCGTACCCTGAAGCCCCTCAATGAGTGAAAAACCACAAAGGATAGAAGTACAAGTGGTAACTAGTTGTTTAATTTAGTATATATATATATATACATATAT